CGGGGCGGGCGCCGGGGCGCGGAGGGTCGGCGGGTGATGCCCGGCGCGTGCTGCGCTTGCCCTTCGCGTTCTCATTTTCCGTAACGCACGCCCTCTAAAATTGCTGTGCGTTTTGAAGGCGGGGGTCAGCGTCTAGATGTCCTGTAACATTAAAACCCATAGGAGAAGATTAAGGAGGTGGAATAACTCTTTTAAGAATACTTTCCCGCGGCCAAAAGCTTTCCACCAGAGCCGTTAGTTCTCCGGAGCCTGCCTGTGAGCGGCAGGGGTGATTATGTTGTAGCGGTTATGTTGGGCGGCTGAAGTCTACACTTGATTCTCTTTCCTTATGAGGAAACGGCAGTGGCTAGGATGACTTTAAAGAAAAAAAAATAGTAGAAGCATTCGCTGAAATCCAAAATGTTTTTTTACGGCCTACAGAGTTGACACAATACAGAAGGTATTTTTGCTGCTGCTCCTGAAGCTCTGACATCACCCAGTGAAATAGGAAACATTTCGGGGATGGCACAACTTGTCCCTTTCAACCCACCTTCCCTTTGGTTTTTTTCTCCACACTTTTTTAAGAAGGATGAATTAGAATCCTTAGGTGTATCATATACGGATTCTTTAAAATGTGACAAATCTGTTTGGATTACTTGCATGGATTTCTATAATTTTTAACATCTGGAGAAAAGTGAATTCTCTCTAGGCAAACAATAATTTTGCTAAAACCTAAATACTTGTTCTGAATTACTGTTCTTTATTTTCAGGCATCTGGAGTTACAGTGAACGATGAAGTCATCAAAGTTTTTAATGATATGAAAGTGAGGAAATCTTCTACACAAGAGGAGATCAAAAAGCGAAAGAAAGCAGTTCTCTTCTGTTTAAGCGATGACAAAAGACAAATAATTGTAGAGGAAGCAAAGCAGATCTTGGTGGGTGACATTGGTGATACTGTAGAGGACCCCTACACATCTTTTGTGAAGTTGCTACCTCTGAATGATTGCCGATATGCTTTGTACGATGCCACATACGAAACAAAAGAGTCTAAGAAAGAAGACCTAGTATTTATATTCTGGTGTGTAAAAACATAAGCAAAAAGTACTTTTAAAATGCAAGGATTATTATTATCATAGTAAGTTTTGCCTTTGTTTTTCTAGTAAGTGAGATTCAACAATTTTTTTTTCCTGTAGGGCTCCTGAAAGTGCACCATTAAAAAGCAAGATGATTTATGCTAGCTCTAAAGATGCCATTAAAAAGAAATTTACAGGTACAAACATTGACTATTTTGTGCAGAGAAATGACTGTTTCCTAATTGTAAGGTAATGAGATTTTTTTTTTCTTTTCAGGTATTAAACACGAGTGGCAAGTAAATGGCTTGGATGATATTAAGGACCGTTCAACACTTGGAGAGAAACTGGGAGGCAATGTAGTAGTTTCACTTGAAGGAAAACCATTATAAAATGACAGTCAAGTGCCATTTGGATCATAAGGGGCTTTCTTTTTTTCCAGCTCAGTCCATTGGAATAGTATTAGGTTTTGTTTTTTTGTTTTTTCCCTTTCCACTGGACCCTTCCAACACAATGAATGAAGGAGATACCATTCATTTAAGCAGCTTGTCAGTGATTGCCATTAGACTGTTTAACACTGTTACTTTTGTGGTTATTTTTATGTACAACCTGAGGAATGCCTTCCCATCTTACATTAGCCAAAACAACTGGTTATATGCCTTGCTTGCTGCAAGCACTACAGTGAATGTGATTGTCAATGTGACTAGCTTAGAATACTGCAAAGGATAAGCTAATTGAATGCCTTGAAAGTATTAGCCACTGGTCAGATGGTAAACTTTTTCAGTATTATTTATAGTTGCACTTGATTGCAGTTCTGTGAGGCGCGCAGCATTGGTACACCTCACCTGCCTTGGCAAGCCTATTTTTGTGACATGGCGGCACACATATAACACTATGCATTAAAAGCACTTTTTTTGTAATGAAGTTAATCCTCCGAAAAGAATGCCAATTAAGTTTCATTAACTGTGTCATCAGTTTACCCTTGTACCTCTGTTCATTCCTGTTACCTGCGTATCTTTAAATAGCTGTTACAGTATTAATGCCTTTGTGTTTTCTGTTGAGTGTACACTACTGAATAAGTGTAGAAGTTTTATGTTTACCGTGTGAGTCTTGCAACATTAAAGGTAGTCTGAATATCAGTCATGATGGCAGTTTCTGTATAAAAGAGCCTTAAATGGAACATTGTTTTGAGATCAAACTCCTTACCCTCACAAAAATGGCCACGTTGCAATAAAAAGTGTGGCATATTACAGAATGTTGCCTTGTTTTCCTTGGGAATTTTGCAAAATGTTCTGTGGAACAACTTTTAGGTAAACATCTATTAAAGTCTCTGCATTGGTCATTTAAGAACTTTTCTGTATGATGTTCATGTGTGATATTTTCCAGATTTCTTGAATTTCTTTGGTTTGAAAAAATATCCTAAAGCCACTTAATATAAAATACCATCCTTAAAGAGTGGTACTTTTATAAACATGTTTGTTTATTTTAATACAGAGATTAGAGTAGTTTCTCTTGTTTTGTTTGCACTTTTACATACGTACTCGAGTATCTTGTTCTCTGAATAAATTAAGATAGTTTTAAAATTCATATTTATATTTCTAAATGAGAAAGTTTTTTGTGCTTTGGTTATAATGAAAATAAGTTATAAAATGTTCTTCAAAAGTTTTGATATTTCTGATGTTTAGGGACATTTCAGCTACTATTCCTTAATGTATTTTCCAAATTGAATTGGCAGAAGGAATTGGTATAGCAGTCTTAAACATTAATAGTCGGTTTTGGCCTTGGTCCACATTGCTCGCCTTATAGAGAATTTGATCTACTCAGTGTGAGCACTTTGCTGTTAGCCAGAGCTATTTATGGCAAACACATGCTTTTGTATCTTGTCATAGTTATCCACAAATGGCAAAACTGGATTTGATTCTACTGGTATGCAAAACAGGCTTGCTAGTAAGCAGTCAGTCATAGCTCAGAATTTAACCCCATAGTTCTAAAGAAGGATTTTATCAGAAAACAGGAAATAGCCCTTTTTAAAAATTACATTATGTGAAAGTAATTGGAGTATAGATTTTTTCCCCCCATACTTTGAAAGATTTTTCAGGTGAGAATAATAAAATAGGTTAAATGTCTAGGCTTGCATTTATAATTGTGTGAATGACTCGGGATCTTTTTTGCCCTGAGCAATTTTATTTCAGGCTTCCAGCTGTCTCGTCTCTGAGTTGTTCTGAACATTTCAGTGGCTTTTTGGTAAAGCCAAACTAATAAGCAAAGCATGAGAATATTAATGTATCCTAACCCATATATGTAACTGATAACACATACCATGGAGTTTTTCATTATTTCATTGTTCTAATAATAAGGGACGTCTAAAAACCAAATCAGTTATGTAATATCTTTTGTTTCCATAGCTGATTCAATGTCCTGTATCTCTTTGTATAATAGAGATTAGATACTGCTTTAAACTGATAACTTTGATTTATTAGATTGACAAAATATGAATACATCATTGAGCTACACTTTTGTGCATAGAGCCACAAATAATTATATAGTTAATGATGGATCACACTTTGAGACTAATTGGCATTTGAAATGATATTTTATAATTTACAGTGAAACAACGTTTCAGTTAGCTTTAAAAAGTATATGGTGCTAATTAGTAAAATATTGACAATGTTTTACTGCTGGCTTGCAAAATTATGTTTAAAAAATAAAATAATTAAAAATACTTAAAGCTGTTGCGATGTGTTTACTTACACTTTGGAACACTAAAAGTTGAAAAACTAATATTGCAGATTAAAAGCACCATTATCCATGGCCTCCTTTTTTGAGTTTTAGTTGATGTATTTTCTCATTTACTGATTCTAGTTTTCTTTGAAAACTAAATGTCGAAGCAATTAATTTTAACATTTTCAGACAAATGTGAACAGTTGGCATTGTCCCATTCTGGCTCTCAGCTGTCATTTTCCATCATTATGTAAAATAGTGTGGCCAGCATTGTGTATTTAATGTGCCTTTTTAGTGCAGTAGATAAAAAGCCTCAGTAGGTTTGAGTTTCTCTGATAGAGATCCTCTGAAACAGCTAATTTATGGGATCTTAGCTAATAGACTTTGGGGAAAAAATTCAAAATGTTTTAAGAAAATCACCCCAATGGTAAACCATTGAAGGGCTTGAAATTTTCATTAGGTTTGCCTCTTAATCTTGTTCTGCCCTTCTTTTTTCTTTTGCTTGCAAATTTAGTAGTAGTTGAAAATGTAAAACAACATGAATATTCATTTTTCTATGACTAGTAAAGCTACTGGAGATGTGCAGGCCAGCCTCACTGAATGCTGCTTCTCAAATAGCTGAGTTTATAGATGTTTTATCTCATCTTGGGCAATAAGCGTGTCAGGCTTTCCCTTTGCTTTGGAACCACAAATGCTTGCTTTCCAGGTAGAATTGGGAGTCATCATTCCAGTTACCTTCCATAATGTAACTGGGCAAATTATTCTTTCTGAGCCTCAGGTTGATTGGTTTGTTCGTTTGGGGGGTTTTCTGGTACCTAGGATCAAACTTGGGACCTTGCACTTGTGAGGCAGGGACCAGAACCACTGAGCTAAATCCCTGGCAGCCTTGGGGCTTTTTTAATGTATAAATAACAGAAATGATAATATGTCTACCACTGCTGGTAAAAATACAGAAATGCTTTTTTTTTTTTTGGAGACAGGAAAATGCTATGTAAATGTAATAATTTATTTAAACCATGTATTCTTAATAGGTGTAAGGAGATGAAACAACCAAGTTCATAAGATTTATTAAAAATAATTGCACCTCTACTTTGTAATTATACCATGCAATCTCATTTAAGCCATCTATTTAGGACATGTGAAGTGTATACCTAATTCAGAAGTGTAACCTCTGACTTGATCATGACTTTTTGGGGGGACAAGGTCATGCTATGTACTTCAGGCTAGCCTTGAACTTGTGATCCTCCTGCCTCAGCCTCCCAGGTGCTGAGATAACAGGTGTGTGCCACCTCACCTGGCTAGATCATCACTTTTGATCTTGATAGTGTTCTGTTCTTTTTTGTTTTTGTCTTTTAAAAAAGGGGGTCTCACTATATAGTTCAGGCTGGCCTGGGTCCTCCTGCATCTACCTCCCAAGGGTTAAGATTGCAGGTATGCACTAGCATACCCAGCAGTGTTGTATTCTTTTTCATATGTGAATAGTCAGATGCTGGTCTTTTTCCCAACATAATTTAGAAGAAAAAAGAGAAAAGAGCTACTGCTTTGGAATATTTGTCATAAACTTATGATTTGGGTTGAAAATCGACTGCCTAATAATGCCCTACATTTATGTAATTTTGCCATCATTTTCAAGCTACTATAAATCTCTCTGGTCTTAGTGGGTTTTTTTGTTTGTTGGTTTTTTCGGTACTGGGGATCGAACTCGAGACCTTGTGCTTGGGAGGGCAGGCAGCAGTGCAGGCAGCAAGCCGTACCACTAAGCTAAATCCCTGGCCCTCCTTAGTATTCTTTTTTTTTCCCTCAGTATTCTTAGCTATTTCTCTGTTACATATGAGAATATTGAGGTTTGGAGACGTTAAAGGACACCTTGAGCTGAGTAAAAAGGCTAAACCCTATCCAGTATATTTTTCACTCTGAATATATATTGTAACATAAAATAAGTTTTTATATTTCTTTTTATTTTTGTCTTAAAATTTTTATTTTTATTCATGTTTGGAGTACATGATTGCATTCATTGTGGAGAGTTATGCATGACACATCTGAATTCTTTTTATTTCCTCCCTTCCCTTTTATTTTATTTTTTTATTTTTTGAGATAGGGTCTCACTATGTAGTTGAGACTGACCTGGAACTCACTATGTAGCCTACCTAGGCTGGTCTTGAACTCACAGCGATCCTCCTGCCTCAGCCTCCCAAGTGCTGGGATTACAGGTGTTCACCACACCTGGCTATATTTGTTTTTTTGTTTTTTTATTTTTTTTTCCGGTACTGGGGATCGAACTCAGATCCTTGTGCTTGCAAGGCAGGCGGCAGAACCACTGAGCTAAATCCCTGGCCTGTATTTCTTTTTAAAAGGTGGAATAAACCCATGTTTTGAATATTTTGTATATTTTTATCTGGATTTTTCAAGAATTTTTGAAAAGTGGTCTTTGAGTTTTTGTGTTCTAAGAATTATGCTTATAAAATTAAAATATTTTTATATTTCAAAAATCTTAGATGTTTCAGTATCATACATTTATGGAGTTGTAGAAAACAGGATTATGTAAACATGTTTTTCAGAAGATTAATATCTTTTAATCCTTTTTCCGAAACTTTGATCATGCCCTTTCCATGTTACCCTATCCATTTTTTTGTTGTGTTGTGTTGTTTTTTGAGCAGGGTGTCTAGTTCCCTTGAATTCACTGTGTAGCCTGGGCTGACCTTGGCCTCCCAAGTGCTGGGATTAGGGTATGCACTACCACACCCAGCTCCTGCCCACTTTGTAAGGAGAGAATATTGTAGTTCTAGTGGTTAAGTAGCAGTACTCTGGCATCAGACTGCTTGGGTTATCACATAGAGGCCTTCAACACTAGTTGAATGATCTCAGGCAAATTAACCTACAGCCTTAATTGTGACAGCTATAAAATAGGGATAGCCAGGTGTGGTGGCACAGGCCTATAATCTCAGCATTTAGGAGACTGAGGCAGGGGAGTTTGAGGTCGGCCTGAGCTACATAGCTCAAGGCCAGCCCAAACTATATAGCAAGATCCTGTCTCAGAAAACAAACAAAAATGGGGATAAAATAGTACTACATCACATTGAATATGAATTGTATAGATAAATGAAAACTCTTGGAATAATAGTTGACACATAGTAAGTGCTCAGTAGAACGATTCTATAATTTATGCCCCAGAGCAGGATATTGAGAGTGATTGGGAACACTTTTTTTTTTTTTTTTTTTTTTTTTGGTTTTTTGAGACTTGGTTTCACTATGTAGTTGAGATTGACCTGGAACTCACTATGTAGCCCAGGCTGGTCTTGAACTCACAGCGATCCTCCTGCCTCAGTCTCCCAAGTGCTGGGATTACAGGCGTGCACCACCACGCCCGGCTGGGAACACTTTTTTTTTTTTTTGGAACAATTTTTTTTAATGGTACTGGGAATCAAACTTGTCCTGGTGCTTGCCAGGCAGGCACTGTGCCACTGAGGTACTTTCCCAACCAGGAACACAATTATGACAGGACAACAGGATTAGATAGGACAAAAGCAAAGCAAGAGGTGTAGTCACCCTAGCAAGAAGGTATTGATATTAAAATATAACAAATAGGCCAGGGCATGCCTATAATCCCAGCACTTGGGAAGTTCAAAAGGATTGCTGCAAGTTCAAAGCCATCCTGAGCTACATAGTGAGCTCAAGACAGCCAGAAAGAACTGCATGATGAGAACCTGTCTCCAAAAAAAAAAAAAAACTATTAAAGACAATCATTTAGCCACCTGCTTCGCAAGTGCAAGGACCAGAGTTCGATTCCTGGTACCAAAAAAATAA